TTGCAAACGCTTGCTCAGATATCTCAAACAGTCACAACCGATCCGTGCTATAAGTGCTGCCAACCGGTTTAGCGCAGTGACTCCGATGTCTCCGACGATGGGACAAGGAGATGAGATCGTCCCTCAAGGTCCCTTGGCTCCTTGTCACCGTCATTTTTCTAATACAAAGATAGAGTAGGCAGGGCGTGTCTGCACAGCCGACACCCTGCTGCGAGACCCGCTCTCGTGTGTGCGCGATACAAAGATAGAGTTGATCCCTTGATCTATCCCCGTGAAGAGTTCCACCAGATAGAGGTCTTGTTCCACCATTCCAAGTTGGTGTACAGACGCCCCTGAAGGGCGGACACCCGAAAAACCGTTACCCCGTTGGAACTCTGTTTGGTCTGCTTTTTACAGTCCTATGAGCTATGTATGACATATTCAACATGTTGGTGAAATGGCCTCCTTGGGCGTTTCTGCGGAGACAGGACCAGACACAATGGACAATGGGTTTTGAGCCTGCCAGATGCGGTAGATTTGATGAGACCATGCCACAAAGAGAACCCCAAACCATCCCAAGCCAGTCTTTCAAACCATACACTTCGAATGTTTGACACAGCTAGCCTGACCATGGCTTGCCCTAATCAGGGTACCTCAAATCCACTGGTGAATGGATCAAAGACATGTGTACAACACATCTATACAATACGAATCTTTCCGGACAGCTAGCACATTTCTCTTGAAAGGTATGTAGTAATCAGTTTTACATGATGTTTCTAGAATCCAGCTGGATGTTGCCTTCCATCCACAGGCAGATGACTTTCAGCGGGATCTCATGACACAAAGGGACCCTCGGCAGCCGTTCGGGACGGGGCCGACTCTCCGAACACGTGGGGTTATCATGTGCTGCACATGGTACTGATTTCTTTACGAATATATATATAGGTCCAAGGGGTTATCATGTATACAATAAACATTGATTAATGATTTTAAATATACCATATATGATTTGTTTAAGCAAGGGTTTTGGGAATGGGACTCTCGGGGTCTTTGAGGTTTCGATTCAGCAGATACCAATACATGATCAGCAGACCATGCACATCACAAGGATCGTGAACAGCACCTTCCAACAGGCCCCCAATTCGGCCCAGGCTCCAAGGCTCATGCCAGTGCAAGGCTCAAGAAGGCACGTGTTCCCCCATAAGAACCTCATGTTTTCGGCCTCCGAACACGTTTTTTGGTCCGTCCATCCGTCCGTCCGCGACGGTCGGTGACGGGTGACGGGGAGATTCTGGCCTGGTGGATGAATTGCGGTCAGTGGTAGAACCAATTGGTATATGTTGGTTGGTTATTATATGGTTATACTTTTGTTTTCTTGGTTGGTTGGATATCTCGGTTTGTGTAGCAATTGATGTTGCCTGGCAGAAAAGACCCTTCGATTCTTCCCGTCGCGGTGCGGACGCTCGTTCCGGTCGTGACGTTGGCCCGGTCGCGTCAAAGGCCGTGACCTTTGAGAATGACACCATGCCTGGGGCACAGTTCTTTCTGAACGAGCAGGAAGAGACGGCCGTGACGGAGGCCACCGAACAACAGGGAAAAAGCCGAAGAACAGGTCCCGTTGTTGGGGCCTTAGGGCCAAGGGCAGGATGCAGAGCGGAGTCATCCACGGAAGTTGTTGGGGCGTGGCTACTGGATTCTCGGGCTAGCTAGCGGGTTAGCTAGCTTGGTTTCTAGAACATGGTTTATGTGGATTTACTTAGTCTTGAGGTTTTCGCCTTCGATTCGCCAAACATCGAGAGCTCGGATGAGTAAAGGATGAGTGGCCCGGCGATCGACCCGAAAGAAAGCTGATGGCACCTGCGTTGTTGGTTTTTTCCCTGGTGCTGCATACCTGTTTGATCGGCTCATATCGGCTCATACCTGTGTTGAAGCAACTGATTTCGGCAGCTCACATGCACTGGACCAGGATGGAACAGGTAAGCGACCGTACACCATGGTGTACGGTCGGTGCAACACCGTGAGCTCGCCGCGGGTGCAGGTGGCCAATCGTTATAGCTCAGCTGAACAAGATGTGGAGGAACTTCAGGACGAAGGGTGAACCCAGACCGCAAACACCAGCCAGAGGCAAGGAGAAAGAAACCTAGTGTATCCCTTCTATCCCCCCACGGACTGTGGGAAGGAGAATGTGTGTTGTTGCAGGATGAAGTGCTCAGGAATGAGGATGAGCAGGTGCAAACCATAGTGTTTTAGAGAGGATGATCCTCTCAAATCACGTTCACCAACAAAGCATGGCCTCCTCTCAAACAAGTTGACGTGATGAACGGTCTTGGAGAGGATGAGATCGTGGCGGGCATGGCTTCGGATCCCAGTTGTCTGACGCAGGCGAGAGCGGGTGATCGGGACGGAGAGCGAGTGATCGGGACGAGAGCGCGTGATCGGGACGCATGAACAGAGATCACTAGAGATCACCAGAGAATCAGTACAGAGATATGTACTATCTGTACAGATCAACTGACTATTTTTTGAACCTTGAGTGACTTGATTGAGCGCAAGTCATTGCAGATCAGCCATGAAAAGCAGACGTACCACCAGACCCCACTCACCCACTGCTAGGTAAAGGGTCTGCCGCGATTTTGGAAGACTTGCAAAGCCTCCGGGCAATGGACGCTACTAGGAGCAAAGGGCATCGCTACTAGGAGCAAGGGCCTTGCTACTAGGAACAAGAAGCTATTAGAAACAAGAAATCTATAGAAACAATAAGCTACTAGGAACAAGTGCATCGCTTCTAGTAACAAGTGCCTTACTAGTAGTAACAAGGACGCTATATATTGTTTCTACTAGCTTCTTGCTCCTAGTAGTAAGGCCAGGAGCCCCTAGTAGCGTTCTTGTTGCTAGTAGAATTGGGAAAGCCTCAGCGCTTTGGGGGTTGGACCCCTTGGAGCAGCGAGCCTTAAACCATCCAACCAACGAGCAAAAGAACCAACCAACATGAACCAACCAACCAGAACCAACCAACCAGAACCAACCAACCAGAACCAACCAACCAGAACCAAC